CATCCTGTTTACTTACAGTGTTCATCTCTTTTCTCTTCATTTCCACTCTGTCAAATTTCTGTTCGTAGATTGGTGTTAAATACCACTTATGTCGTTCGTCAGTTATAAGTAGTATACATCACACCACTGAATATTAAGCATCAACATTGATTACGAACGTTTCATAGAATTCTGTATCCTTCCCAATATAAAAGTAGCATATACAGTAATCATTTCAATATATTTTACACTAATTCTTCATTTGTGCAGTCGATCAATATTCTGTATTACGTAACTGATTGCACAGTTTATTCTTATATTCCACATGACCTTCAATGCAATTTTTTTAGAATTCAATTCCTATCACTATTGGTTACGAAAGTGAACATCTAATCCAAATTAGGTTGATAAGTAGATTGTATTAAAGTGTTTGGTCTTTTCGTTCAGTATGATTCTTGATCTACGGATATATGAAGTGGGTACACTAACTGATCACTGAGCAGCAGTCAACTCTATGTCTATCTGGTCGTCAGTGTTGATTTAATTCTATCATTCTAGATATAAAGTACCGAGTTAAATATTTTCTTGGAATGAATATGTTGATTTGATTGGAATAGGCAAATGTGGAATCAATTTAAATTTGATGATCAGCAGACAAGTGAATGTTCAACTAGCTGAATGTGTACGTGTTTATATGTGGCAGTGACTGGCAAAGGTTCAGATTACTAATATCATCTTCCATTATGCGAAACATTCATTTCAAACATAACTGCTTTATAGACAAGCCATAAAAACCACATCGCACCATAAGTCAGAAAATAACATTTGTACACGATGAAGTCAAAAAGTAGCTGTGTCTGTGAAAAACTGAAGGTATAAAATGGTCATAACTTTGTGTTATAACTTCTGACCTGAGTGCCCTGTTAATGGATAATGTAATAATGATTGATGTATTGAAAAGAGTGGTGTCACCGAATTGTTTCAGTTTTCTGTGCTACATTTCATCGAAGATGAATTTCAAGATTTGCATTTGCTGACACTCACTCAACCAGATATCTCGAGTAAAATAAATGAGGTGTGAGTAGATATTTGGAGACTTTTTATGCTTATGTGTACCGATTGACTTATCCGGACATGGATACGTGGTTGACTTCATTAAACAGACGATATACATACTCACTCACATACTGAACTTACGCAACAAGAGAATCTTACTTGCACTCCTCAGTCATATCACCATTGAGTACGAAATAAAGTAGGTTTTGTATGAGATAGAAATAAACAGTGGTACTTGAAATTTTTGTTTTCCTTACACCATGCACATTCTTAATGCTTCACTGGAATGATCGTGCGCTTATGAAAGGTGTAGCTGAGATTCAAGGCGAATATTGAGTGTATTTGGTAAAGTGCGATACAGAGGCAAAAGCAGTGGGACTAAAAAAGAATGAACAAACAAGACTATCCGGAAGCTTGAGCAAGCTATGCAGGTTCATATAGCAACTGACAGAACAAGGTAATTTTTGATATCTATGAACAATTTTTCACTCAATATCATTGTACCAGTGATGACTTCGCTGAATTACCAAGCATATCTCTATTTTAATAAAGACTACTGTGTGTCATCAACAGCAACATGAATGAACCAAGAAATTTAGTACAATTCGTGGTTGATAATAACCATAATAAACGTAATGATAATAACAATAATGAAATAATTTTCAAGCATATTCGAAAGACCGAATATTCACATGTTGAGTAGTAAGAACGTTCGCACCTCTGTTATTTTATAAAATCAATTTCAACATGAAAAGACAGACATATCAAAGATTCGCTTCAAGAACTCCTGATGAAAGACTACAAACATCGAATATCAATCAAAGTATCTCTCCGTAAACATCAACTAGTTATACAATTTTGGAATTGCGGATGCTGACATAGGCAGCAGGCTATATAAATCTTCATCTACGATTGCTTACTTATGTAGAAACTCATTTTGATTTTGCTGCAAAACTAAGAAGAATTTCATTATCAAATATATTTCAAGACATATTTTATGTTTGCGAAATGCCATCGCTTACATCTCACGATGATATCCAACTTCAATCAATACCTAATACAAACGTACATTTGGTCAACAGTCATATGAATCTATACAGAATATCGGGTATCGATCAACTTATCTGTCACACTGAATGTTATAAAACGATACACAGAACGTTATGAGGATTATGTGATCAATCATCTTGATGATAGTCTCATAGAAAATACTGATGAGAAGTAATGACTCGCCGAGTCTAAAATCATCGGTATTATTACTGATAGTTCCATAGACTTATGAACTGCGGACGTACAAAATAGATAATTCTATAAGAACGCCTTCACTAAACTCATTTGAAATCAGGTGATAAACGGAATCAGTGTTTATTCATAGCTAAAGCAATACTTCCTGTAACCTGGAAGAACAACCTACTCGTTTTCTCTTCAGTTTCTCTTTAGAAAAATAGTACTCATATGCAAAATGGAAATTTCATTCAATTTTGTTCCGTGGACGTAAATGACGATCAGTCATATAAAAGCATCATTAGTAAGCGAAATTCCTTATTATAATCAAGATTTATATTAAGCACTTTACACAAAAGAGAAAATCATATAATTTTGATTACTTAGATTGAATATGGTGATAAACAACATAGAAGTACATACATTGGCGTTTCTACAAACAACAACTGAGGTCAACAGACTGACGTCACTTTATAATCTCACTCTCCGATAGTATACACTAATAATATCATCATTATTTTTGTTTTCAGAAGGATATTTCTTATGAGTAAACGCATATAAGATTAAATGTACTGAAATAGTAGATGTGATGATCATATGCGATATACAGGCACATATTCCTGACTGAATAATGAAGGTACAATAGAATTTCAAGAATACATATGAAGCACGTATTCCGTTCTGGTCATACACGATAATATGATGGTGATGGATAATGTTATCTTGTGAATCACCTTAGCTATATGATTCAGCTGTCTAACATTATGGAGTCGAGTAAAATAGAGATTTAGGAGATGAGTGTACACTTTTTCAAAAGAGCGAATACGAAATATAGACAATTAAAACATCGAACAATCAGCGTCAGATAATATCGAACTGAAACCACGTATCGCCTTCGATCTGACAAATACTATTTATCACAGTCATTTGATATAGGTTTGAATAAATGTTTTTCAGCTTATCACCAGTTGTGCCTTTAGTGCATATACGGTTCGATGTACATTTAGGCGGTTTCAAGCATTTGTTGATCGTTGAAAATTCACTCATTTAGTTTTTTCTACAGAAAAATGTTCAAAATACTGCGGAATAAACTGCGTTTTTGGATAATCTGGACAGTCTGTTTTCGAAAATCTCAGATGTCATAAGTAAGTGAATAAGTATGCAAGCAAGTCATTCATACACTTGAACTTAGTGAGCAGTGTTTTTGTTCTTGTTCAACTTGTTTATCTGGTTAATTCTGGTCCGTCATGATAAAATTATGAATAAATGTAGCTGAATTTCACTTTATGAAGTTGACCATTGTAAAATCTATAAGCTACAATGAACATTATACATCTGATGAAATCCCGTTTATCCACACTTAATAGCCTGCACATTGTCGTTTTTTGTCAAAACTGGTTATCGTTGAAGCATAGAGCATAATTGTGTGTTCGACATTAAAATATTCACATATTGGTAATAAGTAGAAGTAGCATATTAGTCTTCGTTGGAGGTGAAATGGAGAAGAAAGAGATTATTTAAAAAAGAATAATCTTTTGCCGAATTAATAAAAACACTGAAGTACACCTCGTGTAAGCAACAAGTTGTTGAAAGGACTTTTTGAGAAAACTTCATGCATTAAGTACACGAACGTTAATGTTTAACATGAAAAATATGACGATCATTTGTGCTGTCATCACAAAATTACATTGAAAAATTAAGAGTATAAAGTATATTAGGATTCTTATATTTTTGCTTCCTTACGTGGATTCTAATGCATTAATGTCTCGTTCTAACAAAAGATATACAAAGGGGAGACATATAAACGAAATGGGTGGTTACTACGTGATAAGAGAACACCAGTCACGATTTAGCTAAACATGAATGTTTATCCACCATTCTAATAATAATGACCTCAAAAGGTTCTCCGCAATCCTTGCTATCTCTTTGCAAAACATCAAAGTCCCTTTTTCCAATGCTGACGAATGGATAATGGAGAACAGTACAAAGCAATAGGTTATATGCAAGAATTGACAAGCTGTAACAATTGACATCGCATAACCATAAAATCATGCAGTAAGTCATACTGTGTACTTGCAACATATTTCCTAATAACAATATGTAAAATACACAAGTAGATATAACGAGACATCACATCAAATAATTTATAATCTGACTCATACTCTTCCTGAGCACAATTACTGATTGACATTAAAACATATGCAGATATGTTTTCCTCTGGTAATTAGATCATGATGAACGACATGAAACGACAATGTATCACTGAGCACAATTTTGATGTTGATAAATTACAGTACAATTGTTTGCTCAACTACAGTCTGTAATACCTGTGGAAACGACATTTTGTGCACTATTAAAAGTCAATTAACAGACTATTACAGACAACCAACTGTTTGTTCATGAACATATGAGCAGAACTTTTGAATTACAAGTTAACCAATCGTTGACTATAAATTAGTATTAATCACGTCCATGATAGGTTTCATCAATAGGGGTCAGGAATTTCAAACATCTGTGGATAAATTACAGCTCATGTTCTCAACAGCCAGAAGAATATTGAATAAAGATGGTCTCATCTACGTCTGTGATTGGTTAACAACGAACATACGATTTTACCACGTATATTCATCCTAATGGTCAGTTTGAATCATCGAATCAGTAGTAAACAACCTTACATTTCAAAATTCTATATAAACCTGACACGTTTTATTAAAATATGACCTACTACTTTGAACAAGAAGATGAGGTGAGTGTTGACTGAGCATGCTAACTCAAATTGAGAATCGAGGCAACGAGATAACGTTGTTTATTTCATCTGAACCATTTTAGACACAATATGTTATCTTCTCAATCGATGTCATTTTTTCTGATCGTCGTCTGGCTTTACGAATTCTTCAAATGCCAGGATCATTGTGAAGAACGTGAATGGATGACTTTGGAAAAAGTAATTTTTGAAAACCGGTCATATCGATATGTAAGTAATCAGTTTGATCGTTATACACGTACTCAGTCTCAGCATTATATGTATTTCCAGAGCATCAGTATTAACAAGTCTCAGCCAGCTGTGAATGGAAGTTTCAATATACGCAATTATTTCTGGGTAAGCTGAATACATTTTGTGATGAAGGTACTTGTGCCTGTGTTTACGCCTTTTTAGACAGTTAAACCGAAACTGTCGCCCAGATATTACGGTAGTCAGTTCACAGAATTCTCTATTAGCTCTACTGGTAAGTCAGTAATTTTCTTTCACCTCAAATTATAACTTTATTTTCTTGATAACATTTCTGTCCATGAATCCAAGTTGATTTCATTTCTTTAATAATTTAGTTTTATTCTCCTTGAGACATGCAAAAATTCTTCCGATATCCTTTCTTGTTAGAATTGTGTCGATAATGTGACTCTTTATAGCAATCCAGATGCAGATCATCCAATTCATTTAATTATTTAGTTTATTTCATTCAATGTAAAATGATCAATCATGTTTCATGTTTTCAATAAATAAATACAGGTGAAATAAGTATGAAGGGACAAGACGTTCTCGGATATATTAGACCGTTTAGATTATTCGATGCATATCTTAATTATGATATTTTGGATGAGGGTGAGTTCTTGTATTATTCAGTTATATTTTGTTTTGTTACTTATTTCCACACTTCATTTTGCATACATTATTCTCTATTTGGCTTGATTATTACACAAGAGCTTATCAACACACGATGATTGTTTTGTTTGTGTGATTTTCGTACCAGAAAATGAGTGTTTCACAACACCTTTTGATTACTATCATGTGAAAATATTAAACAAAATAGAGTTTCATCTCAAAATACAAACACATTGGAAGGGTAGAAATGACAAAACAAGTGATGTTATTGTCCGAGTGCCAATTACCAACTCTTCAGTCTATCAAAACTACAAGATAGCAGATATCGGCATCGACACGATACATCTTTGTAGACTGGATTAACCGGAATTATCATATGTGCAACAATAAGCGATGTTGTGACAGAAGTCGTTTTGAATTATTGACATCCATGAACTATCAAATCATACATGATGTCTTCCAATACTTTTCTAACAATTACTTCATTCATATAATTCAAAAGTCTTTGAGTTGCTGTCTGTTTACCATCGAGTTTTGGATTCGATCTTTGCAACGACATTCGTAATATTACCGAATTTGAATACAGACACTTCATGTGACAGATGAACAATCAAAGAATAATAATATTCTGCTATCATAAGATGGTTAACTCAAACCAGAACAACCTAGAACACCAATATTGCAAACATCCGTTTTTGATCAGTTGTCAGAATCGATTATTAACAAAACCTCAGAAAATGTTATTATATGGGCATTGTCGGTTAGACATTAACGGTCTGTACCACAGTCTAATGCTGCTAGAACAGATGTTACGGTAGAAAAATATTCTTCTTAGTTGGATTGGTTGAGACATCTATCATACGGATGAAGCTGATAATATTTATTGAAGTTTCGTCATGAGAGATGCCTGAGTATTTGACTAAATCGGTTCAATAAATCTCAGAATGAAGATCATAACTTACATGCAAATGTAGTCCGTGTTAATACGTTCATTTATTCAATGTGATAGATATTCATTATGCAGATATTTGAACATCCATTTTTATTTTCATTATTTCAGAGGAATTATTTGCTGTCAGATGGTTTATTAAGAAAAACGTTGATGGTAAACGTAAGTCAACACATGTGGAATCCGCACACTTACATCTTCATTCCATATGATTATTCACAGTATGTCAGATTCAATTAGTCTCAGAAACTGAACATGTAAGAATTTGTCACTTTTCAGAGAATTGAGAGTAGAATTATTTGTGAAATCCACCGTTCGCTTGATGACGTTGAAAAAGATTTGAAGAATAGTTGATGTGATTTGGAAATGACTAAGGTTGATGAGTAAAATACAGATCACTATAGTGGATAAATCAGGTCACAATCCTATTTCATTTGTGATTCATTTACGTTTACAGGCTTGAATTGAATTGAATTTGATTATCAGTTTCAGTTTCAAAATAAATAAATTGTGTTTTCTGTTTGTCACAAAGTCAGTTCTGTACATAACACATTCATCTACCCAACCAATAATCTCATAGTCATTTTAAAAATATCCGTAATACCATCTATCTAAGGCTATTCGTTTCTCATCTACAACAAATAAACACTATGGTCGTATTCAGTTGATCGACTGAAATGTCACGTGACCATATAAACAATTCAATCCACAAGTCCAATTTGTAAGCAAACACTCCAAATCTTATGTCATGTGTACACAGTCTCGATTGTTTCAGGAGGCATTCAAGAACGTATATCGCATACATATGAATACGTCATTGACCATAGGATTTCAATGGAACAATTACCGATTGAATGTTTCAATAATAATACAATAGTAGTACAGCTTTAGGCATTTGACATTCGTCTAGAAGGATGTATGTTTCTATCATTCACATGACGTGCACTTAGAATTATTTAACATGAAGTTGTGGTGGTCGGTATTTGATATAATCCTTAAACTTCGTATACAGTTCGTCGCGATAACCGTTCTATATAACGTACCAAGGTATATTAATCAGAAGGCAAATACGAAGTGTCGATTACGTTTATTATGACACCACACACATATATCCAAATGTACAGATGTGTTAAACAAGCATAGGAGAGTTGTGCCGAAAGGCAAGCAAGCGAGCGGGAGCCAGAGCAAGAGCGGAACGAGACCGTGCGAGCGAGTGAGCGATTGAGTGTACAATATGAATAAGATGGACATATATATATCATGTGAAATGAATGAGTAATAGAATCGAATAAGCGGTTAGTGGTAAGACTAGCAGACTGAATAAATGCGTAGGCAGTAATCAATATTCAAGCATACGTATTTCATACAAGCTCAAAATAATAATAAGGATACAATAATTGTTATAGCGCGGATGGTTTTGTCCGCTAAATAAGTTAACAAAAAGGGCTTAACTGGGTTAAATGAAAATAAACCCATTTGCACGTGAGTCGCTATAAAGTCAACTGAAGAAAATATTTGACATAACACAGTAAATATTCTCTGAAACATGGTCACTTTATGAGCTGATTTATACAATGTTACATCTACCGACAAATTGGTCATTGTTTTTGCCCAAGTTCTAAATATCGACATTTAGGTTGTCGAGTTTTTGTACAAATTCAAAACTATCTTTTAGACTGTAAGGTGTCGTCGTCAATTTATGTTGTGATCACTTTGGAATTGATTGAATGTTACTTCGATAGAAGTTGATTAGTTGCTATCTGTGAAGTCAATCAATTTGAAAAACAGTCTCATTTAGAGCTGACATCAAAACAAACATGCAGATTGATGAACATAAATATCGTTCTAGTTTATGATAAGCATATTAAACCTCAACAGTGCTCACCAGCCATCTTACCGAAGACAAAGCCAAGATCTGCAGGTATTTCCTACGATTGATTTCCTACTGTAACTTCAGTCAACTTGTCATATTGTTACTAATCCACTTATCAATACCGTTCTGTATCTCTAATCCTGCATGTTTGATGAAGTAAGGCAAACTACTTTTGTTGACCAACAGTTATCTAGTGAATATGTCAGTTTCGTAACCAACATCACTCTGTCTGTTTCTAGTTGTGATGGACAAGGTGGAATATGTTTGACATGATTAATGATCGGCCCATAAATATTACTTCGATCATCTTTATTATTATTGAAAAAATTGTAAGTGACGAACTCTCAGCGTATAAATACAAAACAATCTACGTAAACCTCAAGATGTACCAAATTGATCAAGGGGAACACTTTCCTACAGTAAAAATACATAAACGATGGTTCGGAGTGTATATCAACAATATACTTTCAATAATATGAATAGATGATGACAACTGAATTGACCTTTACCAAACACCTAGAAACCCGCATTCACGGATTTCTCCCGACAGACTAAACACAGTGAATACCACCTAATCTAATCAAAATGTCTACGCACTAACGTCGACCAATTTCGCGAATTCGGAATGGTCGACAAACAGAAAGAATCATTAGTGAGTGACATTCCTTATTTTATTGAAGATCCATATCAAGCTCATTATACAAAGGAATAAGCCATATTATCAAATTATTTAGATAGAATATGATGGTAAACAACAAAAAAGTAAAATCATAAACATTTCTATATACAACAACTGAGGTCACCAGACTGATATCACTTTAAAATCACACTCTTAAACAGTGTACACTATTATTATCATCATTTGTGTTAACCTTGAGAAATATGTTTCATATGTGAAAACGCATATTAGATTAGAAGAACACAAATGATAGATGTGATGATTCCATGTGATATTGATATACCTATTCCTGACTGAATCGTCAAGTAACAGTCCTTTATGTGAACAGATTCGAGAGGACGAAACTTGTGCATGTTGTGTTCATGTCAAAGTAATACGATTCATCGACAACAACATCTTCTTCTTGGACATTATTATCTTCTGAATCACTTCAAACATATTCTTTAGCTGTGAAACTCACTATGATGTTGAGTTAATTACAGGTGTAAAAGCTGAGTGTCCTGTTGACCATAATAGATATGACAAAATGATAACAATTATTGCAACGAATAACCAGTGATAATCATTATGGAACTGATTCGTGAACTCCATGAATGTCTCAAAATCTGCGCAACTCAACACGGATAATTCTAAGGCGTTTAGATCACATTTTAATTTACTAATTTTCTTGTTACATTATGATTTCCCAATGGAAATTCCAAGGTTAAAACTATTTAGATGAAACGATGAAGACTAAAATATAGTTTGACGACAAGTTTCACATTAGAAAATATGTCATACATAGAACGTTATCTTTCTTCATTCAGCCTTAATGTTATTGAATGAATAAATCTATGTTTGAGTTAGAATTATTCAAAATGCTAATGTCAACCAACAATCAAATATCTCAGTAGCTAATATAATGACGTAAGTTTATACTGAGTGCCGGCCAGTTTATCTCTTTCATATAAACTGTAAGATCCAAATTAATGTTTGGACTGAAGAATCGCTGTCTAAGTGGATTAGTTAGGCGTCCATGCACGAGTGAATCCAAAACCAAGTAATTGGTTAAAATGATGGTTCTATAACTCATCACAAATATAAATGCACATTGTTACCTAAACAAATATGACCACCCAGCTATTCAACCAATAATTGCTCGATTAATCAAATCTAAATTACAATAAATAAAGAAGTTGATAGAGGATGCGAGAAAATTACCAATCACAACGAATAAATGCTGTTCTATCCTGTCTGGATAGACCACACAGATTCATTCAAAAGATAGTATTTGGTTGCTTTATGGCACAGAGTGTTTCCAATTCTGGATGAGTGCCTCAATTCAAAATCAATGAAAGGCACAGTTACAGTCAATACATTCAACACAATCAAGAGGAGCGACAAACCAACCCATATGGCTGCTGTCATGACTAAGTATCAAGTCAAACAACATAAATGCAGTCCTGGAAGAAACACGGAAACATAGAGAAAGCGTAATGTAAAAAGAAGTCAGAAGTTGA